GCCTCGTGGAGGCCTTTGGGGCGCTTGTTGGGGCCTCCTGGGGCCTCCTGGCTGCCCCTTGGGGCCCTCTTGAAGTGCTCCTGTGAGCCTTGGGAGCGCTCTTGGAGCCCTCTTGGGCCATCTTGGAGTCATCTTGAAGCCTCGGACGGCCATCGGAAGCGAAAAGGCGAGAAAGCCCAAAACATTGATTTCCCGTAGGTTTTTGAAGGATTTGGGCCTCTTGGGGGCCTCCTGGGGGAGCTCTTTGGCCACTTGGAGCCGTCTTGAAGCGGTCTTGGGGCCTCTTGGAGCATCTTTGGAGCCATCTTGAAGCATCCTGGGATCTCTTGAGCCATCTTGGAGGTCATCTTGGGCTCTCCCAGGCGCTCGTGGAGTCATCTGAAGCAGTGCCCCCCCCCCCCCCCCCCCAGGAGGCCCAAATGTGGCCAAAACCTTTTTGTAAAATCAATGGTTTTGGCATTCTCGCCGAGGCCTCTTGGAGCGTCTTGGGTGCCTCTGGGGGGCCTCGTGGGGGTCTCTTGGCAGCCTCTTGGGGGCATCCTGGGGGCCTTTTGGGGGCTTCTTGGGGCCACATGGGGCCATCTTGCGGCCTCGCCGAGGCCGTTTTGGACGCTCCAGCGCGCCGCGGAACCCCCCGTCCAGGTCCAGGGGAGGGGGTAGCGGGAGGGGTAAGCCCCTCCCCGAAGGGGAAGAGGAAACTCCCTAAACAACCTACGCCCAGAGGGCTGGTGGGACTACGACTACTCCTACTGCGACTACGACGACTACTACTACTACTACTACTACTACTACTACTACCACCACCACCACCACCACCACCACCACCACCACTACTACTACTACTACTACTACTACTACTACTACTACTACTCCTACTACGACTACCAGTACTACTACTACTACTACTACTACTACTACTACTACTACTACTACTACTACTACTACTACTACTACTACGACTACTACTACTACTACTACTACTACTACTACTACTACTACTACTACTACTACTACTACTACTACTACTACTACTACTACTACTACTACTACTACTACTACTACTACTACTACTACTACTACTACTACTACTACTACTACTACTACCTACTCTACTGCTACTACTAGAAGCCATTCCTAGTACTACTGCTACTACTACTACTACTACTACTACGACTACTACTACTACTACGACGACTTCTGATACGACTACTACTACGGCTACTATTACGACTACTACTACTACTACTACTATTGCTACTACTACTACTACTACTACTACTACTACTACTACTACTATCACTAGCTCAAAACATACCCGGACCCGGGGTCAGCTGGGGTGAAAAGGGCCGCCCGCTAGAGCGTTTTCGGCCTTGCCGCCACCTCGTCTGGGTACGGGTCGGTGCCCGAAACAACCATACATACCCGGACCTAGCTGGGGTGATGGTTGGGTCACCCCGTCTAGGTACGGGTATGTATGGTGGTTTCGGGAGCCGACCCGGACCCAGGGGGGGTGATGCCCCGAGGGCCCTTTGCCACCCCGTCTGGGTAAGGGTACGGGTATCTTTCGCGTTCGAGATACTACTGCTACGACTACGACTACTAGTACTACTACTGTCGGACATACAAGTATTGCTATTACCACTACTACCAACTACTACGACGACTATTGTTACTACTACTACTACTACTACTACTACTACTACTACTACTACTACTACTGCTACTGCTGCTACTAGTACTACTACCACTACTACCACTACTACTATTGTTAATACTATTACTATTTCTTTTTCTACGACTACAACTACTACCGCTACTATTACTGCTACTACTACTACTACTACTACTACTGCTACTACTACTACTACTACAACAACTACTACTACTACTACGACTAGTATTGCTATGATTACTACCATTATTATTCTTGTTGCAACTAGTATAATATCTAGAACTTCGACCGTTACGGCTGCACCGGCTATTACTACTATTACTACTACTACTACTACTACTACTACTGTTACTGCTACTACTACTACTACTACTACTACTACTACTACTACTACTACTGCGACTACTACCACTATTGCCGTTTTGTCTGTTACTTCTACTAGTTCTGCAATTTTTACTCCGAAATGATGCTTCCCACTATCATTAGTAATACTACGACTGGTACTACTACTATTACTACTACTACGACGGCTACGACGACTATTACAACTACAACTACTACACGACTACGACTACGACTACTACTAGTACGGCCAGCACTATCACTACTACTACTACTACTACTACTACTACTACTACTACTACTACTACTACTACGACCGCTACTACTACTACTACTACTACTACTGCTGATGCAATTTCTAATACGTATGCTACTACGACGACTGCTACTACTACTGCTATCACGATTACTACAACCACTAGTACCATTACTACTACCACTACCACTGCTACCACGACAGCTACTGCTACCACTACTGCTACTACTACAGCTACTGCTACTTATGATTTCCCTTACGACTACGACTACGACGGCTACTACCAGTAGTTTGATAACCACCACTATTTTCGACTACAACTACGACTACCACTAGCGCGAGCAGTACTACTACTACTGCTACTGCTACTACTACTACTACGATTACACTTACTGCTGCTACTATTACCATCAATGTTTACAGCAGTACTTCTACGACGACGACAAATATTCTTATGTTTACCACTGCTGCTTCTAATACTACTACCACTACTCCTACTACTGCTGCTACTATTACTTCTAGTAGCAATAGTAGACACGACTTCTACGACTACAACTTCTGCTACTACTACGACTACTGCTACTTCTGCTGGTACAACTATTGCTGCTGCTGCGACTACGACTACTGCTATAACGCTATTACAACTACTATTCCAAATTCTACGACGATCTCTATTGATTTTATTTGTATTACTACCATTACTAGTACTACTACGACTGCGACTGCTACCATGATTACTACTACTTTTGCCACTACTACTACCACTGGTAATAGTACTACTACAACTACTACTACTACTACTACTACTACTACTACTACTGCGACCACCCCGACGACGACGAAGGATATTGATATTATTTCCCATGCTACGAATATTATTACTATTACGATTGTTACTACGCCTACCTCTACTACTACTACTACTACGACGACGACGACGACGACGACTACTACTTTTACTTTTTTCCAATACTTCTACTACTTCTACTACTACCCCCCTTATTGATATTACGACTGGGAATGCGACTGCTACCAGTATTCTTACAACAACGTCTACTGTTACTGCAATCGCGATTACTAGTACTAATACTACAACGACGACGGCTACTACGATTGCCACTACTACTACTACTACCACTCCTACTACTACTACTACTACTACTACGACAACGATTATTTCTACTACTACGACTGCTACTCTTACTACGACTACTCTCAATACGGCGACAGCTAGTATGACTACTACGACGACGACGACGACTATTACTATTACTCTTACTCTTGCTACTACGATAACTACAGCGACGACTATTTTAGTATGATGGATAACCCACTACTACTGCGAGCGTTACCCGACTACTACCACTACGACTACAACCACGACTACTACTACTACTACCACCACTACTGCGACAACTACGATTCGGATTATTATTATTGTTACTGCTACGACTACGACTACTACGACTACTACGACTACTACTACTTGTACTCCTGCGACTACTACTAATACTACTACTACTACTACTACCACTACTACTACTACTACGACTACGACTACTACTACTACTACTACTACTACTACTACTACTACTACGGCTACAACGACGACTACGGCGACTACGACTACCACTACTGCTACTACTACTACGCCTACTATTTGTACTATGACTACTGCCACAAGGATTACTACTACTACTACTACTACGACTACTGCTACTATTATTATTACTATTACTATTACTACTACTACTACTACTACTACTACTACTACTACTACTACTAGTACGACGACTACTACTATTACTTTTACCACTACTACCACTACTACCACTGATAACGCTACTACGACTCTTACTACTACGATTGCTACTACGATTACTACTACGACGACGACGACTACTACGACTATTATCACTACGATCGCTAATGCGACTACGAGTGCTACTACCACTACTATTAATACTACGACCTACTACTACTACTACTACTACTACCACCACCACCACTACTACTACTACTACTACTACTACTACTACTACTACTATCACTACCACTACCACTACCACTACCACTGTTACTACGACTCTTACTGCTAATATTGCGACTACTACTACTACTACTACTACTACTACTACTACTACTACTACTACTACTACTACTACTACGTACTACTACTACTACTACCACTACTACTACTACTACTACTACTACTACTACTACTACTACTACTACTACTACTACTACTACTACTATACTACTACTACTACTACTACTACTACTACTACTACTACTACTACTACTACTACTACTACTACTACTACTACTACTACTACTACTACTACTACTACTACTACTACTACTACTACTACTACTACTACTACTACTACTACTACTACTACTACTACTACTACTACTACTACTACTACTACTACTACTACTACTACTACTACTACTACTACTACTACGCTGCTGCTGCTGCTGTTGCTGCTGCTGCTGCTACGACTGCTACTATTACGGTCACTACGCTCAACTAAACATGTGTGCTTCGCCCCAAACAGGGCGACGCGCCTGGCGAGTAATGTTATAGTATATGTTCGATGGCTGGTGCTGTCTGGTCGTATCGCTGGGTGAACGATACATGTTATTGTTGTTGTGTTATATGATCTGGCTGGACGCCCACCTCCAAGGAGGACACCATATTAGCATGCCTATTTGCGTCCCGGCCAGGAGCTGTCGAACATCGTCTGGGCGTTCGCCACGATTGGGCTGACGCATTCGCTCCTGTTCGAGCGCATTATGGAGGCCGTGCTCGCGCCAGCGGCTCGACGTGCCAGCCGATGCCTCGGGTGAGAAGTCGCCTTTTTCATTGTGCGAGGATTAGGCAAGCGAGGGCCGAGGTCGAAAATCGTTAGGTGCTCGTTTGGGGGGCCTTCCAAATGCCCACCCAGCGGATCTGTCCTGCTCTAGTTCGAAGTTAGTTCGGCTCCAGTTCGTTTCTAGTTCGACCCAAATCTGGTTGGAGGCCGACTCAAGTTCGACTCAAGTCGACGGGCCGTCGACGCAGCACCGACGCATGCCTGGAGCGGTTTGTTCCAGAAAAAGAAGGTCCCCAGAGCGAGCGTCCAAGAATCCGGGACCCAGGGTCCAGGCTTGGGGATGTTGTGGGGCCTGATGGGCCGCCTTCGTGGCCACGGCTGCATCCACCTCGAAGCTCTAACCAGAACGCACTTGGAATCCAGGAGGAGGAGGAGGAGGTGCGAGGTGAGCAGCCGTTGTTCGCCCTTTGTGCGCTTCCGGGAGTCTTCTGGTCGCCACGGCGGAATTCTCCTCGAAAGCCAGGCCCAGACCCGCCCGGAGATGGGGCCAGGGCGATGGCTGTGCAGGGGAAGCGGGTGAGGAGAGGGATGAGGGGCAAGAAGAGGAGGAAGAGTTGGCGATTGGAGAAGCTCGGGGAGGTGGTGGGACAGCGTGGTGTCCTTTTTGTCGATCCTCGGCTGTGCCTGCGGCCCACCTTCAGCGAGAGGGTCCCCGAGGGCTCCCCGAGATGGAGGTTGAGAATATCTCGAGCGGGGTGCCGCAGGACAGGGAGGCCAGGCCACGAGGTGCCTCGGCTTCTCGCGACGGTGGTGGCGCCGTCGCCTTCCCTCCAGGCCTCCCACATGAGCGACGCAAAGAAACGGGGTCGTCTTCGCCGACATTGGCGCGTAAGCTGCCCGCGTAAGGTCGCGCGCAAGCGCCCTCGTCTCAAATGCAGCGTGCCGCGCCGGCGGACCGCGCAAGCTGCGGCGTAAGGTCGCTACGTCATCTCGCGCAAGACCCGTTTTTGATCGTCGCTCAAACGGGGGCGAAGTAGATGGGGTCGGAGGACCGCGCAGCATCGCCGAGCATCGCCGACGCATCGGCAATACCGCTCGATGTGGAGTACGATTCTCTCCACGCCAACGTTGCCGATTAATCGCCGACGTCGCCAGCGCATCGGTGATGCATCCGTAATGCATCGGTGATACATCGGCGATGCGGCGCGATCCCCCAACCCCATCTACTCGGACCTCGTCCAGGAGGCCTCTACGGGAAGTTCGCGTCGTGTCGACCGGCAGCGACCCCGCCACCAGCGTTCAATGTTAAACGCCGGCGGCGGCTCAGAATCGGTCGATGTTGAACAGTTCGACATTTTGGAAACGGCCGATCGCTCAAAGTTGAACGGTCCCCGCGGTGTCAGGAACCAATGCCGAAGTCGGCACGACACGAGTTTGCCGTATCCGGACCCCGTCCAGGAGGGCTCTGTTACCCCATTCCTGGACAGCATGGTATCGAGCATCCTACCCGTGCCCCTCGAGTCCCGTGCAGAGGCACGGCCGCCGACCGACGTTGCTCTCACGTGGGTCTCAGCACGCGACCGCGCCAATTCCTTGCCCTCGTGTCGTCGTCGTTGTCGATCGAGGTGTTGGCGCATCTTCCAGTTTTTGCGATCCCGCAGGGTTATGGAGGCCTCCCCGGAGGCTGGGGGGAGCCCGCGAGGCTGGGTGCAAGAGAGGCTTGGAGTGTTGAGGATGCTGTTTTGGAGGCGGGGTTAAGCAGGGTGAACGAAGGCGAGAAGGAAGAGAGGGAGGAGGGATGAGAGGGGAAGGAGGAGCAAGAGAAGTGGGCATGAAGGAAGCGGGTCCTGAGGCAGGCGGGTTCTGAACCCCAGAGGCTTTCTCCCAGGACTGGCTTTGCATGTGGAGTCGTTCTGTTACCAGTCCCAGGGCACCCGCAGGGCCCCAGGAGCCCAGGACATGCCAAACATTATCAGCCCGCATGGACCCCAAACAGAAAGTTCTTGCATTGAGGATGTTGAAACTACATATCATTGAGAGTAAAAGGACCCCTAACCCTAATGACACGATGAAGACGTGGCCTCGTTGAGGTCCCCGTCTTCACATTAGGGATTATAGATCTGGGCGGTTTGGCCTGGTACATCTGCAGAAGAGACCCCCTATCCCTAACGTTTCTGGCCCTAAGTAAGGTCCCTTCCAAAATGGCTAGGGGCCCTTGTTGGTTAATCAATGTCGTGCAAGCCATGTGGTGTAAGCTATGTGGTGCAGTGTACGTGCTGTAAGCTAGAGGCGGCCACGGGCGGCAACGTGGCGAGGCCTCGCTGGACCACGAGGCGGCCACGGGCGGCAACGTGGAAAGTACTCGCCCCACCAGCCCTCTTCAGGAGGAAATAAAGACACACAGACACAAGTAATCGCCGACTCCCAGGAGAATGTGGGAACCTACGGGAAGTGGGGAGGAGGAAGACGAGAACCCAGAAAGTATAGGAGCATCCTGGGACTCCTGGGACGTGTGTCCATCTATTGCTCTCTGCCCCAAGGGCCCCCCTCATCGTTCGCGAGAGAAGAGACGACCCCTACGTGCAAGCACCGTGAGGCGAACGTCTTGGCCCGCTCCCCTCGGAGCCCCAGCCTCGGCGGCGACCGAGGGGGGGAAGACGATCCCGAGCCGGGCGGCGCAGGGACAACCGGCCACGAGCAGTTGGTTCGCTGGTCCCCCTTTTGCTTCCCTCCCCGTCCTTTCCCAGTTTCGGTGGCGAGCGAGGGGGAAGTGACAAGGAGAAAGAAGGCCTTCTCAGAAGGCGGCCGGCCTTCTCGGACGCCGTCGCGCCTTCTGAGAAGTGTTATGTGTCTTCGGTGGAGGCTTAGAGAACTTCTCAGAAGGCAGGGAAACTTCCGAGCCTTCTGGGAAGACCTTCTCCTTCTCGCTTTCCCCCCCTCGCTCGCCGCCAAGTTTCATCCGTAGCGCAGCTGCGTCGCGCCCCGGAGCCCGCCGCAGCCGCTGTCCGCGGTTGGCGAGGAGGCGGCCGAAAGATTTTTCGTGAGCACCTAGTCTTGGGTGGGGCATGTCCTCCTGTAGGCGAGTTTTGGAGGAACAGAATACAAGCCCGGCTCGCCCCCCCAGGGTGCCCTGGGCTTCTTGGGCTGCGATGGCTGTGCTCCGGAAGGGCGACGTTCCCACGCCGAAAATCAGTGGACGCCCTTGGGGTCTCAGGGTTGGACCTCTTGGGGAAGGTTCCTTGTGGTCGAGCTCCTGCCCCGGACATGCGACGCCCTGATTTTTTCAGGACGACATCCCCGGAAGTCCAGACCCTTTCCCCCGGGCCGGTTTTTCATCCCGAGTCGTTGTTTGACGGTCCCGAGGCCCGGCGCGGCCCCCCCGAGGCCGAAATTGGCCAAAAGTGTCCCGTCTTGATTCTTTTTGGCGACGCGATCCTGTCTGGGACTGCACGAAGGCAACCATACTCGCACAGCCGGCAGGCGTCTCGGCGGACCCGCCGCTGCGCGCGGGGGCGCCCACGAGGCGCGCTGCGGGCGGCAGCGTGACGAAGCCTCGGCGGACACCCAGCGCAGGAGGGGGGGGGCGCCCACGAGGCGCCTGCGGGCGGCGGGAGCCCGGGCGAAGCCTCGGCGGGCCCATGTGATCAGTGCTGAGTCGGGCACGTCCCTCTGCAGGAGGAGTATTCAGGAGTAGGCAAAACACCGTCTGGGGACGATGTTTGGATTACTTTTGGTCATTCTTGAGCATGTGCTGACCATTTTTCATTGTTCGTCCCAAATCCCCCTGTAGGAGGACATGCCCGAGCTAAGCCGGAGGGGCACAAGCAAGAACCCTTGAGTGCAAGCACTGCCTGGGGAGGAAAGAATGGCGCTCGCGAGCCTGCCAGCGAGCGCCCAGGCGGACCGCAGCGCAGAAGCGCGTGAAGGAAGGAAGGAAGGAAGGAAGGAAGGAAGGAAGGAAGGAAGAGGCAGCAGGAGGAAACAGGAGGAGGAGGAGGAGGAGGAGCCATTCACCTTGAGGAAACAGGAAGGAGGACGAGGAGGAAACAGGAAGGAGGAGGAGGAGGAGGAGGAGGAACGAACGAACGGAAAGTCACACGCCCTAGGCGCGTGGACTCGTGCACGTAGCTGCTCGTGCAAAACTGAACTACTCCAGCTTTCCATGCCACAGCATCACTCACATCGACGCCCAGCTGCGTAGCGACCTTCCCGACCTGCGTTGACCATTCGTTCCTGGGGCGACCAGTCTTCCTGGCGTACTTGTGCGTGAGAGGGGGAAGGCTTCCCGCGGCGAAGGTTCTCTGCCGTAGGACGTCGCCTTCCATGGCCCTTGCCACCCGGCCATATGAAAGGAGCTGGTCCTGAAGTAGTCGCCAGTCCAGCGGTTGCGTCCACGCCTCCTTCAGAACAATTTGGTTGGAGATCTTCGATCAGAGCGAATGTGGTATGTGAAGAATCGGACGTAAATGCAGTATCTACAGTAGAAGCCGCTGAGCCGTTTGATTGCGGTTTTGTTCAACCACGCAGATTTGAGGCCGTACAACAGACCCGTACAACAATTGATTCAAATACCTCGATCTCCCGTGACCTTGTTAAGGTCGCTCTCTTCAGAAGCGGTCCAGCTTGCAGAAATCCCCCCATGCGTGGCCGATTTTGCCGTGCATCTCGTTGCCCGCGTCCCCGTCCGAGTGCAAGTTCACGCCCAGGTACTTCATGACACTTCTTGCTGCGATGGCCTCGCCGGCTGGGGTATGGAGGCGGTAATCTTTTCCGATGGACAGCAATTGGAATGTTGACCAGTGCAAGGCCATACCGTATTGGGCGCCAACGTACGCCGTACTGTCCAGCAGCGTTTGCACAGCTTTTTGGCTCGATCCGATGAGCAAGGTGTCATCCGCATACAAGGGCTTGTCCAGCCCGCCCGCGTGAGTGCCATCAGCATCACGAGGAGGAGAGGAGAAAGTGGGCAGCCTTGTGAAATCCCTG